TATCACAGCCTCAAAACTTGCACCATCACTCTTGCTGGATGATGATATTTGGTATCTGGACGGTACTTAACACCATTTAACTCAGACCCTTGCTCTGAACACTAACTCTCCAACAGAAGAAACCAAACTGGAGGGAAACAGCGTGATCTGTACGATACTGCCATCACTGCAGAGCTCTTCTGAAGGGGAAAGGGCTGGATTCTCGTTTCTCCCAGGACACGTGACAGCAGACATTAATGCTTCATGTCCTTAAAGGGTAATTTGAAGGCAAGGGGAGGGTAGAATAACTTGTGAAAAAGCTGGGGACTCTCCCTATCACAAGACAATTCCTAATATTATCATACTCAGAAAATCACACATCCCTGCTATAGCACAATGGTGAACACCTTCTGCTCTATTTCAACAACAGGTAGACAAGAGGCAGAAATTAACTGGTGACTTCCCAGTCAGCTTCACCCTTTTATTCCAGTACTTGTTAGAAAACGTATTTTGCAGACAGATGCTTTTGAAAAACTCAAGTGAAATATTGCTCTTGCTTTGTTTTATTCGGCAAGAGGCAGGCTTGCTATAAACATCAGTAAATATTTTTCATGTGAAGAAGCAGGAAGGCTGTGACTTTTCTTTCCTATGTAGCAATATGACTCTTGCACTAAAAATGTCTTCAAAGCTCTTGTGGCTGTCTGCCTTATAAGCACACCAAAGCTAAAAAAAAAAAAAAGTCTCAACAGATCCCTTGCTCTAATCTTGAATAAAAGCTGCTTTAGCTTTAGCAGTGACAGTTTTCCCTCAAGCTAGCTGCAGGAAGAAATGACCCACTTTGTTAATTTGCTGAAAGGCAGAAGCTGTTGCAGGCTTATTAAAACACTATCTCTCTTGGAGAACAATTAGATCAGAAGGAGATAGTGTCACTTGGATCTTCTTCACTTAATAAGCTTAATACCTGCTATTTGAACTGTCTCTATGAGGCAGAAATTGAATTTAGCTTGTTCTGGCTGTGCAAATTTTCACTGAGATCACTGCTGCACGTGTCACGATGAGCAAGAACTGAGGCTTCAGGCATCTCTCCTCTTTCTCATCAACTCTTTGGCTCTCCCTGGCTCACTAATCCTTGATCAGCTCAGGTGTAATTCTCCAAAGTCCTCAAGTTGATGAAATCAATTAGCAGATGATATCAAGAGCTCATGCTTTACCCAGATCACTTGAGTCCTGTCAAGGCACAAAACTCTTCACTAAGCAACACAGGCTTTGTCCAAGAGAGTAACAAAAACAGTTGTCTCTGGGATGGGATTGCCCTTTCAGCTTTTCTTGCCACAACCCAAACATTTTGTTATTCAGATCTTTATTCTCAGTTGCAAGTCACAGTTGAATTTTTTTTCCCATGGAATATGCAGCACTACCCTGTAAGTCCTAATACTTAGAACAGTAGTTATTTGAAAAATAAAAATGTTTCTATTTTTATCTGTGAAATCAATGATACCGAGGCTGCGTATGTCTCAATGCCCTCTGTATAAAGCGTGCTCACTTCATACTAGTTTCATTCCACCCATGCATCTCGAAAAGTTACTACTTGCCAAGGATGAGTTAAGCCTGGACTCTTCTACATGAGCCACCAGCTTCAGATGTAAAAGCCAGTCCTGCTTTCACACACAGACAAAATAACAGTTTTTTCAGCGGGACTGCAATAGTTTAGCAGCATAGCAAGATACTAACTTCTTCAACATTTCAGATTCTCTTTGTCTGTTTCAGATGTTAAACATCTGACCAAAGCTCCCTCATCCTGAGGTCACATCCTCCAACATCTCAAGTAAAAGCCTTTCTTGCCCACCTAGTAATTAATGATGTCGGCATAAAGCAGCGTGTTGAAGAGCAAGCTTGCACAGACCTAGAGAGTGACCTGAGACTTTCTGTTACAGGTGGGAATCTTGCCCCTCTGACACTTCACTGCAGAAATCCCCAGGGAGAGGCTGCCTCCTGTAAGAAGCACGGCTTGTTACCTAGAACACCCACAGCCTCTGAAGAACAACTGGATCTAAGAACAACTCAAGAGGAATCACACACACAAAGCAATCCCAAAAAGCTGTGCTTAAGTAGAAATACACTGAAATCACTGTGACAAAAAGTCTGTCTGTACTTCTAGCTAGCAGCTAAATTAAAGGAAAAAAAACAAAACCAAAACCAGAGGAGTACAAAGGCATACATGGAAAGGTTAACTAAGGATCTGTGCTGTTTGAAGCCGGGTTAAGTACCCTTGCCATTTCAGTTAGAGCACATCCTCACACAGACTGACATTCTCACACCACTTAAGGAACTTCTGATCAACATCTTCTGGCAGCCGGCAGAGCGTGTGTGTGCTGCTCACCGCTGGCCAGGGGAGAGAGCCAAAGGACCTTCGCCAGCTCGACAGTAACGGCAGAGCCTGAGCCTTAAGCTGCCTGTCCCACCAGCAGCCAAGCTGTGTGCCTGCCTTCCTTACATTTTTACCATTAAGTGCTGAAATCTTGGCTCTAACTTGAAGAGCAGGGTCAGCTGGAGATCCTTATCTATTTCCAGGAAGAAGCTTATCCCCATTTGACTTCCAGCATATCTAAATTAGGTCTTGGAAAGGTCTTAACTACAAATACTCCAGAGGCAGACACTTCGTGCTGTGAGATACAGCATCTCTCTCTCATACATGATCAAATAACAGACATTCAGAAAAGGATTTAGAGGTAGCTCATTTTTCAGTATTGAGATATTAAAGGGGAAAACCAAACTCCAATGTACGCATTGAATTCTGTTCTCCTGTATCATTACTGAAGATCTCAGTTCCAGATTTCTGTGGAAATTGCCCTCCCAGGCATAAAGTACTTAGATGGTCATTTAGACTTAAATTATTTCAAGATGATCAGAATTCCTGCTCCGCACAGGAGGACGTCACTAGGAGCTGGGGGTGCCACTGGGCACCTGCCTACCCACCACAAGCTGATGTACTGCTCCTCTAGTAACTGGTGTAGAGCCAGCATGGTCCCCATGAAAACAGCGTAAGCAACCCTGCACCTATTTTAAGCCAAACTGTTGTAGGTGGACTGTAATTATGGAGCAATTTGTGAAGTCCCGCAAGTTCACCCTGTAATAATCTATCATAACTTCAGTACAATTATAAATGGAAAATCTATACAGCTACTCAATAGAGAAAAAAACCCCACCCACCTACCCTAAAGTCATGCATTTGTGCTCAAGCCAAAATATTAACTGTTGGAAATGCCAGCGACACCACCAAAAAGGGCCAACAGTGTAATTAGTATTTCTCTTTTTCCAGTCTTTTTTTCTACCAAACAATACTTTCTACTTGCCTCTATGAGGTTGTCAGAGATGAGTACAGTGGAGGAGCCAAGACTCCTCATTTCTACCTTTCCTTTGCAGTGCAGCCCCAGAAAATTAAGGTATGGCCGGAGCAACAGGTAGGTAGTTCACAGAACTCTACGAGTTACGGATTCTGACTCATGTAAGCAAGCCATCTTCTTGGCATTAAAACAACTGGAAGCACACAAAATCACCACCTGTCATCTGGAGAGCAGTAATTTCTTAAGCTACTCAAGTTACTCCACAACTGCTCACGTGATCAGCCACAATGCAAGAACACTGCTTATGCTTATGGTCCTGAAAAAGCAAACCACAACTAGACCCCTCGCAGAAGTTACCTCAACAGCTACCACAAGCTTCTCAGATACTTCAGTGAAAAATATTTCAGTATATTGTGTGGGAGAGCTGGTCAGCCATTTGGAGCACCATAGTAGTGAGGAGTTCCAAACTTCCACACTGTATCAGCTGTCTTAGGCTGAATGCCTGGAAGATTTCAAATAAGCAAAAAAAAGTTAATAGCTTGAAAGGAAAAAAAAATAAATCAAAATTAAAAACCAGACCAAACACGGTTAAATTCCATTTCTATATTTCAGTAAAACCTACTTGAATACACTTTGAAACAAGAGTACAACAAAATAGAATATACTTCAAATGTTGAATATACAAACTATTATAGTTCATTCTGAACACTGGTACTTCCCTCTTAACTTCAACTAAAAAAAAATTTACAGGTTTAGAACTACCTGACAAAAGCTCATGCTGGGTGTGACCTTTCAAGTGACAGAGTAGAGCTGAAACTGAAATGTATGCATGGATGTCAAGGCTAAGTGAGAGACACAGGCATTTTACAGCAGAAGGCGGAAAGCCTGCTGCTCTTCTGTCCACAATTAAGAAATTTAGACAGACTCTTAACTACCATACAAAATATGTTACATGTAATTCTATAACAATACTGTGCTAGGTACAAGATTTTTAAAAAATTTGTTTTAATAAAAAAGCTTTACACAAACAAGCCATTAGCTTATTTCAAGAAAGATAACTGAAAATCAGTCTAAGGCTTTCAATTTGAATCTGCTTAAGCTGTATGATACAACAATCCCTCTGGGTGTCTGTCTTCTTTTAGAAGCTCTTTAGTCTCCTCCTGTATTTCACATCCTACAATACCTAATAGCAGAGTTTTTCACGTAGCACCAGTTGAGTACTGTGGGCACACAGTAGTAATTGCTGGTATGCATATAAAAATGCATCAAATTTGCCATTTCTAACAATGAGACTTCCCTCTGCCCCTGAAAACTAAAAGCCAAGGCAAACCTCTCACGCAACTCTCTTTTAGTGTTCCAGGGCTTAGTGTAACTCGGTAACGTAGTGAACTGTTTGGTCCCTTTTTCCAGTCCCTCCATCTTTCCTTCTCCATAGGTTCAGCTGTTTCCCAACTGGAAGAGGCAGTTGTCAGCATACAAATGTGGTTCGATTCCCACTGAAACACGGGAAAGTATTCTTTTTTTTCCCCAGAAAGTCTTCAACATACGCATGTTTATTAACATTTCAAAACTCTCCTTTTTCGACTTGGTGATCACATCCACTTCCCTCCCCCAATTATGTCAGTATATTCAAAACCGTAACAGTCTCAGAAGTCCATGCTGGAAGCAATCCATTCTTCATTTCTCGCACGTTATGATTCCTTCTGTTTTCATTGCTACAGGAAGGGCAATCGCAGAGGGCGTGCTAACTACTACTACGTGGGTCACAGTCTTGCTCCCATCTGCCGGCTTCTCTTCCTTTACCAGCTGCAGCGTTTTCACTTCACGTTCCTGTTTTAACGCCGCAGCGTCTGATTTAACTTCTGGACTTTTGATAACCGCGCTAATCACCCTGGGAGGAGTCTGGCCAGAGGCCTGCTGAGCAGGCACCGATAGTCTCATCACCGGTGTCCCATGAGCTATAGACACCGGGGTTAGTGCTCTAACAGCCAACGGGGTTCCCACGATGTTAATACTTCCCGATCCAGACAGGCCCGTTTTTGTTTGTAACTGACACTGCGTCAGCTGCGTGGCGGGGATCGTGATGATTTTGGCAGGCTGCATTGTGATTTTGTCTCCGTTTTCAGCGGAGGTTGGCATCACAGTAGGGATTGTCTGGATTACTACCTTCGGAGTCGTCGCCGTTGTCGGACTCGTGTTGGTCAGTAACGGTGAGCCTGCGCTTACCGACTGCACCGCCACGGTGGAGATTTTCTGTCCCAGAGAGGTCATTACAACAGGCACTTGCATTGCCACACGTACAGTCCTGAAAAAGAAAGGAAGATGTGTTTAAGCCAAAACAAAGGGTGCCATTAGAGAGGGCAACAGGGACAGACAAATCCAGGATTTACAGATTTTTAATTGGTTCTTACATTAAGGAAAATAAAAAACAACTAACCTCCCCTTCCAAAAAACCCAACCCCAAATCATTTGCACATCTGGTAACAGGACTTCAGAAATTTAGGACCATTCACATGTCTTTTTTCCCTTCCATCTCTCTATATAATTTTTCAGAACGTGCAAGGACAAGGGCTGACAGTTGGCTTTCATCTCATAAACAAGACTTTTGTAGGATTCTACCACATTACCTTGTTGCTTGCAAATAAGAAACGAGTTCCAACACTTAAAACATAAAGCAAACAACTACAAGACAGCTTCCTAACCAAAAAATTGCTTGTCATTAGCCAACAACAAGCCCAAGTCACACTAATACAAACCTGGGAGCTGTTGTTGCTGGGACAGTAGCGGTGGTAGTTGAGGGACGAGATGACGGTGTATCATGCGCTGGTGAGGCAATATTCACAACTCTCGTGACTGCTTTTTCTGATCTGGTACAGCTTAACTGAGAGGAATTTTTTCCTCCACGTGCAGAGGTTGCTGCTTTTAAAAGATTTTCTGCAGATAAAGACAAAAAAATGACTTCTCATCTGTAGGCATTGGCAAATCTTCATTGCAGGACTCACTTTTGTCATCATCTATGACAACTATATTTTTTGGCATCTCCTTAAATTGATATACAAGCCTCTGTCCCTCAACTTTTGCAAGGATTCCTCTTTGATAGTAGTATCTGCAAGAAAAGTACAACTAAGTAGCAACCAACATAGTGACAGTTTCTAAAGAAAATCTCATTGTAGGCTAACAAGAAAATCTGAAATAACCACAGCAAAACATACAGCGTGAGAAGGTACAGAATGAAGCTGGCAGAGCGTACTGGCAAAGTATCTGAAGGATCTAGCTGAAAAAAAATCTGACCTTTTAAATACATGGTTCAGGAATTAAACAGCAAAATAACTGGTCATATAAAAAGCAACAGCACGACTCTGATGTTTTTTGAGCAGCTAACTCAGCAAGAGGATAAAGCTTTTAAAATCTCAGAGTTGTCATATTTCTGTAAGCAAAATTTACAATCAGATTTAAATTTATAGTAGATAATAACTTAAAAGACTTAAGAGTTTTTACCTCAGAGCTCTTCCCATAGTCTCATAGTTCATGTCAGGTTTGTTTTTGTGTTTTCCCCATAGTTTGGAGACAGCTTTCGAGTCCACAAGTTTAAAGATTCCCTTCTCTCGCTGAGTCCATTTAATATATCGCGGACAAGTATTTTTGTCCTGCAGAAGATCCAGAAGAAACTCCCACAAGTACGTTGTATTTCCTATAAGCAGAAAGCATTTAAATATTAGAAACTCGCTTTTAGAGATAACAGAAAGTTCTCCATATATAGGTAACTTGGAATCACCTGTGTCACAAACAAATGTTGCACAGTGGATGGTCTGCAATGGGACCTGCACACATTCATTCACTCATCCTGTTAAGTTCAGTAAAACTTCCATAAATATTTACATTCTGAAAGGAGCTGAGCCAAGCGATCTGCTATATAGCACAGCAGCCTGCTTCAATGCAGCACCCATTCTCAGCTCCTGAAAAAGAAGTCTGTTCCAAGTCACTACGACCTGCATCTGTTCATCAGAGGCAGGATGAGAGCTCAGAATTTTCTTCTTGTATTTGCTCCAACAGGGAACGGGAATGCCAGTGCGTTTTCTGACCATGAAGGACAGGGGAATATAAAAAAGCAATTTTTAAAAGGCATGCAACCTTCAGCAACAAACCATCTCAGCTGCCTATGTTTGTAACATAACCTCCTGTCCAGGATCTGGGGCTCTTGGAGGGATTGGGGACAGCCTCGTGTCCTGACCCATCCCAAGTACATGTTGCAGAGCGACCAACATCCGTCGGGGTGCAAAGCCAGTACAACTGCTTGCTGCAAGTACTCATACGGCAGAAATCCCACGCACCTTTCTGTAATTAGGGGGATACAGAATGAAGTGAGCCTGCAGAAGATGAATTTAACATCTCAGGTTTTCAAGAGGTGTACCTTTACCACTAGAGCAGCCTCAAGATGAAGCCCATGACAGTGACTATCAGGATGGCACAAAACATACCATGAGGGTTGCCTGCACTCTGACTATACCATTTACATCTAGGAAAAGGGGAAGGAAAAAAAGAAAGGAAGGGAAAAAACCAGAACACATTCCAATTTGTACAGCTGGACTCCTCAAGTTATCTGAGAAGGGAAAACTAAGAGTTACAAGAATAATAACCTCATAATGTTGATTTGAGGCAATTTTTTGGAAAAAAAGTCATTCATTCCTGAGATTTAGTGGCCCAGCACAGAGCTTGTGATATCATGCAGATGACAATTAAAATAGATTAAGGCAGGTAAAAAGACAACTACTGCAGACTCCAAGAGGTTATCTATCTTGGAAAAACCTCAAAGGGTAAAACAAAAAATAATTCATAGTTTTCATCTTCTGGAATATCACCTCATAGACAAGGAATAATATATTTTTACCATATGCCCCAATAATCAGCAAGTATTGGCTCACGATCTACCAAAATCCAGCTTCCACTGGTTTTCAGAGACATTTGAATAGGAAGAGTCAAAAAGAGAACTCAGGAATCCTGAAATCATCATTTTAGGGAAGTAACTCCTTCATTTTTTTTCCCCTTAGCTCCTCAGAAATACAATTTCTAGGTCTACTGCCAAATGCTGTAGGTCTGCAGCAAATTCTTGGCAAAAATTAAGTGGGCTTCAGTATTAGGAAGCAAACAGGAACTTCAAGAGAAATCATTCCAGAAAGCGCCTAATTCTTCTGCAGGACTGGCGCTGCTGACTCAGCAATTTTCTTCTTTTCCTGCATACTCTATATTGACCTAAATAACTTCTTTTTCCACAGGAAGACTACACAATACCTCTACTACTCAGAAGCCATCTACTATTACCTCCGGTGTGCTGCTTTGTCACCTATAGCTGCTATACATTTAACAAAAAAAGCTTATTTTAGAAATGTTCAACAGAATTTTTAATCCTTTTTAAACCCTCTTCCCTTAGAACCAGACTTGCCTAGTCCTGTGAATTCAAGCTGACAGACTCATGAGGAAGAGAAAGATATGGCTGTAAAACATATTATCTGAACAGGCTGGCATTTGTGCCACTCCCAAGGATCCGTAAGCCCAGCCTGGTAGAGAAACACCTACTGCACCCTGCTAGAAACACAGAAGCCTTATTTCATAGCAGACAGCTCTCATGTCCACTCCTGAAAGGTCTCACACCAACTATTCTAAGTGGCCACTGAGCCAGGCATTATTATTACCCCTCTTAATTTCAATACAGAATAGATTTTACACAATGAAAGAAATTCTTGTGGCTAGCCCAGTATTACAGCTGCCAGCTTCTTAATGATGTTAGCCATCATCTCAAAATAGAAGAATTCATGGCCAGCAAGTATGTGAATGATACAAGACACTGTGTCTATCAATGAGCTGTTGCATTGGTACCAGCATCTCTATGGAGAAGGTCAAAGCCAGTTTTGCTCCCTCCAACTGCCTACACTTTAAAAAGAGTGTTTATGCAAGTGAAAAACAAAATACGGAAAGAGAAATCATGTCTAAACCGCTCATCTCCTACATGAGGACAAGAAAAAAATACTATCTCACTTCAAGAAAAAACAGTAAGTCCCCAGTTCTTCCTGTACGATACAACGAAGGGCACAATTAAATCAGATTTACAGCTGCTTTATTTTGCACCAGAACGTATCAGCAACGTGTAAAGGAAGGAGCACCTAAAAAGACAAGCAGTCTCCTTTGCAAACGTGCACCAGCAGCTCTCCTCCACCATGACTTAACTCTGCTGACAATATTGAGCTCTAGGAATGATTCCTGGTTTTCCAAAAATGTGCTGCCTTTACAAGTACTTTTTAAAAATAAATACAAAAAAATAAATCTAGTGATAGAGTATTTTGCAGGACATCAAGTCTGTCTACATTCAGAAAAAAATGTATTTTATGTCACTTGTAGTGTAAAATAATGAGTAAGACACCTAAAAAAGGCTTTCAAAACACACACAGAAAAAAATAAATTAAACAAGATTTACTTTTAAGTACAACAGATGCAAAATCTGTGATCTTCACTGAGGTCCACTGCTACACCAAATCCAAAGACAGCAACAGTGGCCACTGCATGTATTTTTGGATGTTCAATTACTGTTTACACTGGTTTTCATGAGCTAACATCTGCACAAGGTCAGTTCCACTCTTCCTTGCCATGCTGACAACTGTGACGACTCAGGAGCTGTATACAGATAAGGAATTACGTAAACAGCAGAGATCTTGCTTTCAAACAAATCCCAAAATAATGGTGGAGCTAGCCAGGGTACACTTTTTCAGCTCGTATGCTGCCACTGGAAGTCACTAAACTTTGTTTCTCCTAGCCCTAGCAACAGCCCCAAACAGCCTGCAGCGCAGTAAGTGGGGAAGAGAGCCACAGTTTTCACCTACGAGGGGAAGAGCTCACCAGCACAAAGCTAACTCGTGAGCAAATGCCCCAGTCTGTCTCCCCGCCGGGTAAAGAGGCTTCAAGTCCAATATCTGCTACTTGTCAGAAGAAACATCAGGAAAGCACGACTACAGCACAAAATTCCTCACTCAACCGATAAAGAAACGTATCATTTGTTTATCCCCTTAAGCCAAACTGCAGCTATTAGTCAAGCGACATATTCCCACTGAAGTTTGTGAATCAGCCAAGAAAAATCATTTTCTACCATCACCATTACAAATGCCCATAAGGTGATTTTACTTAAGAACAAGCCTTTCAGCAACAGCTTCACAAATTATTTGTCTAGCAGCATGTTAAAACATAACACGAAAGACAGCACAAATCAATAGACAGAAAACAAAGCAAATCAAAAATCAGGAAGCCTATTAACTGCAGAATGTATTACAGGGCACTTCAAGCAGTTCCACACATCCTTGTACTATATCTTGCACAAAAAAAAAAATCTGAAGGCATCAAATAAAATGAAAAGTCTAAAGAAGTCTGTACAAATTCATCCAGCAAATTTTTGAAGACCTGTGTATTTCCTGTGACAGACAGGATAAGCACACACATTTAGTTGTAATTTTAAAGATGCTATAAATGGAAAAATGTACCTTTGCCTTCTCTAGGTTTCTTCTTTATACCTAGATCTGGAGACCCATCAGATACAGCCGACTGTTGGGTCTTCGGTTTACGGCCAGCTGTACATAAAGCATGGGGGAAAAAGTATGAATCATACTAAGAATTAAAATATCTCACAGTCTGTCTTTGCGAAAAGAAGCAGTTCAGGCATTTTTCCCTCCTGCCATTTCCTTGCTACAGGTATGTAGAAACTTAAGTTATTAGATTACCACTACTGCACATTCAGTTTAGTTCATCATTTGGTTGCTTATTTTATAATCGGATTCAACTCAATTTCAGACAAGTTAATGGCAGGTGAGGTAAGCAGCAAATATATAAAAGTAGAACTTGAACTTATTTAGGCGGTGTCTGATTTACTCTGAAATTATTTGTTCTTCTGTTTAGTTTTTGCTATTCTAACATGGGTGTTGATCAAAACAGCGGTTTTCCTAAGAAATTTTACTATTGAAATCGTAAACATTTATTTTCACCTCACACTTGTGCATTTTAAGCTGCAGACAAAAGCTTCTGCTCAGTGCCGCAGGGGATTCACCAAGACAGAGCATTAAGACGTCGCCTCAGGGCTGCAGGAGAGCTCCCAGGGCTGCCGGTGCCTTCTCCTCCCTTCTGCCAGGAGGCTTTAGGAGGGGACTCCGGAGCAGGCTGAGAGCTGCCCGCCTTCCTTCGCCACAGAAAGACCTGCGACTTGCTCGTCCTTTCGCACTTCAGTGACCTTTTCACTCCAGGTAAGCGGCGCCAAGCAAGGAAGAGGATCTTGCCCGGCAGCTGCAGGCTGGGAACAGTCCACGCTCCTGCCTTCAGTTAAAGGCAAGCAGCAACAATTAACTCTCCCACCTCAGGCACGTTAATTTTTGCTGATGAGCAACGTTCTCCATGAAACGCTGAATCGCAAAAGGCATGAATTATGAAGATGAAGGTTATGGCTCTATAACTATGGCTGAATGACCTTACATACTTAAAAGAAGGAATCTGGACTCCCTAATGGGAAAAAACATTTACAAAATAACCTGCATGACATTTCAGAAGGTCCTGAGTACAGCCCTGTAACGCAATTTGCCCAGTAATGACCATTCAAACAGATAGTGGAATAAAAAGAAGTGGTTTAAACTCAGGGTACAACTACAAGCTTTAATCATCATTTTCTTGCTTATGTAATTTACAGTAGTTACAGTTCTCTGTGTGTGCTTTTATTCAGTCTAAAACTCACAGACCTTAGATTTCTATCACTTTATCACTGTGTTGCATTTTTTCCCCTCTAAATTACAAGTAAACATTCCATCTTAGCACGTCTGGAAGCTCTAATAAAACAATATTCCTATAGATAGGTGAATTTTATTGATGCCTGTAGGAAAACAGCCAGACGAGAGAGGAACCTTACCAGATGCCAACCTCTCACTTGGTAGCTGAACACTTTGAACGCCAACACTCCTCAGAATAGTTTCTCCTCCAAGACATGACAATCAGACAAATAAAATACTTCTCTCACAGGGAAGATCTTGTACTGATTTTGTAAACTGATTTATGATTTCCTAAGCTAGTATTTGTCCTGCCAGTTCATTAGAACCCGGAATCTACTCGCTTTCCAAACGTATCCATATCTGAGACAATTGTTACTCATGCAAGTCCTCTTCGAATCCTTCTCTACCCTTTCTCCATTTCATAAACTGTGCTTAAAAAATACAAAACAGAGATATAATTTTTTTATGTCCCAACAAAGCCCATTCACTTCATATTTTTCTTCTTTTTATTTGTTGCAGACTGATTTTCAATGAACTCCCATTTCAGGCTCCAATCAGTCTCATTACATGAGCAGAGGTACCAGATAATCTAACCTATCTCCACCAGTATGAAGTGCACATCAAAAATCAACTCCGAGATTGCTACTACAAAGAGCCATATGTACCTTTTTTCTTTTTCATTGGTTCATGGATATCGGGGGAAGTTGGAACAGGAGATGCATCCATCGGTTCGGATTCCTCCGTTGACACCTCCACCACAGTTTCAGTGATCACGTCAGGTCTCATGGCCGCATGGATAAATTCTGGGGTTGACACACAAGGAGGGACAAAAACTTCCACTATGAGAGAAGGAAAACCAAAAACAACGAATATCTGATGAAGTTCCTACCTGATTATTTTAATGTATCTTACAGGCAATTTTCAGCAAAACATACACAAGAGTACAGGAAGACTATGCTCCAACAATTCATCACCTAGAAAATCAGTCCCGTTCACAAAAACAGGCACACTTGCGAGTACTGTTAGGCACAAGACAACTATCATACTAATATTTTTTAGAACTGAACTCAACTTTAAATGAAACTAATTAGAGCTTAATCTTTGGTCCTTACTCAAATCTCTGTTTCCTGTTTTGTAACTTTTTTGGATTTCAGTTTGATCATTATTTCATTCCACATATATTAAGCAACCTCAGAAGGAACATCAAGTAACCATCAAGTTTTGTTTTCTAAATTGGTAACCTATTCAGACATTGTTTCTCAAATAAACAAACAGATACAAATACCCTTCCCCTCCAATAACTTTTTATTTCAGCAATTTAAAATGTCAAATTCACAGAACCACAGAACGATGGAGGCTGAAAGGGACCTCTGCAGGGCATTTGGTTCAACTATCCTGCTCAATCAAGACCACCTAGAATTGGTTTTTCAGGACCATGTCCAGACTGCTTTTGATTATCTCCAAGGAAGGAAGCGCCACAACCTCTCTGGGCAACCTGTGCCAAAGCTCGGTCACCCTCGCAGTGAAAAAGTATTTCCTGATGTCCAAATGGAAAAATTCATTTTAAACATGCAGCTACTCAAGGATCTCTATCCAATAACCCTCTCTCAGATAAATCACTTAATGTATAAGTGCACTTGTTAGAGACCAAAGATATCACTTAAAAACTGAAACAAACCAGTAGTTTTGAAATAAGAAAGCAACTGTTTTAAACAGCATACAGTTCTCCAGAGAAGCAGGTTTCCCAATTTGTTTGTTTTACTAATCACTAGAAGGAGAAACAGCTCGCGGAGGATAAATTGTTGCTGACATACCAGGGCTCCTGGCATCTCTCAGGCAGGTAGGAGACTCCATATGAAGCAGAGCTTCTGCAGCTTCAATTGTCTTATCTGTGCAGTGCACATTACTCCCATGAACTGATGCTTCCACTGGGGAAGGATAAAAGAAGAATAGATAAGAACAGATTACTTATAAAAGCCCATGTGTATTGCTGTACAACCGCACTACTCAAATGTGAAAATCCCAAAATTGTCAAGTGTCTTCATGCCTCTTGTAGCTTCTGGTCAACAGAACTGTTTAGAGAAGACAAGACAAGCAGAACCAACAGTCACTTCTTAGATTTCTGGTTCACAACCAAGCTCCTCACTTGTATGAGGTGCTCAAGAGCTTACAGAAGCAGACTTCTAAGATTTGTCTTCTGCTTTCAAATTAGGCAGAACACACCACATTGGAATGAGAATGATTACAAACTAATGCAGCAGAGCAGGTAAGAAGCACCATCTCCAACTATTACCTCATTAAAATCTAAAGGTCATCGCTTGAGATTTTCATTTATTTGGATAAATACGTATGTATATAAGATCAGTTTGCAAAACAGATCTATCCAGTTTTGTTTTCTGCGAGTTGGGTTTAGCAGGCTTGGTTGTTAACAAAACACAAAGCATAACAACGAGTATGCAGAGTTTGGTAGTGATAACTAAGGCAAAAAGGTAAAAATCTGTTTTTTCAAATTCTGAAAGTTTATGAAAACTAATTGATAAAAAATTAAAAGTAACTTCAAGAGAGCACATTTACATTTGATACAGTGCAGATCACTGCTACTTGAACACTAACAAAATCTGTTCTTTCAAATTCTGACAGTTTATGAAAACTAATTGATAAAAAATAATTTAAAAGTAACTTCAAGAGAGCACATTTACATTTGATACAGTGCAGATCACTGCTACTTGAACACTAACACACTCCCTCCCTTGCCTTAGCAATTAAAACCATGATCCTGTTCACAGCCAACTATATTCTTCACTCTTGCAAAGGTTTTTAAAAGCACTGACCGCAGAAACACCTGTTGCACACCATTCACACTCTGGCTAAGGTACGCCGACTCTCTCCAGTTGCTCTTTCCATTTATGGCCATCTGCTCAAAGCTGAAGCGCTCCAGCGAGGCAGCCAGCAGCCCAGGAAATCTATCTTTAGTGTAAGCAGGGTCACCTATCTCCAGCGTCAAGAGTTCTAAAGAGGATTCAGTAATAATTCTCTATGAGAACTTCAAGGCACCTATCCTGTTACTGAAAAATGCCTCAGAAACAACTTGAGGTTCCTTTAGTAAAAAGCCAGGAAAATACTGCTAGCGTTGATTCTGACTTGAGAAAACGCTAGATACAGATGCACACAGGCACTTGTGGGGGGGGAAAAATCCTTTCAGCATACTGCAGTTGACTGTAACTCAAGGATTAAAAACCTGAAAAACCTACCAGTCAGCAGACTAAATATATAAATCAGAACCTGAAAGTGAACCAAATCTGGAAGACCCACAAATGCAAAATTCTGGGCAGCTGAAACACCTTGCTGATCTAGCCTGGCTGCTCGACTCACAGCCCTCTCCTGGGATGCTGTGTAGGGGGCTTTATCTTTTGGAATAGTAGGTGCCTGATAAACAGCATTCCACCACTACCTCACCCCAGGGTGAGAACAGTAAACGCCAACAAAGAGCAGTGGGGAATCACACTAAATGAAAGAGTCTGTACTGCACACCATCCCTTGGCTAATCAGTGACTAACTGTAGGGGTTTTCGTAGCACGAGCCCCTTCCACAACTGCAGGTCCTGGGTGCTCCCCACACCCAGGCTGCTGCTGTTCCTTTCCCAAGCAGGAGTTTGGGGGTGTCCTGAGTTTGAGGCCATAGCTCTGCACTGAAATGCAGTGACCCTGCAGGAAACCCTCTGCCTAAACATTTTATGTTTCTCTTTCTGAAGAAACACCTCAGTTGCACAGAAATTGATGATTAAGTTCCCCCTCGCCTACCAGATAATTTTTTCCACTCATCACCAGGATCCAAAAAAATATTCAGCTAGTCATTATAAATTTACCTACACTAACATTGAAAACGAAAAATCAAAATCAACTTTTAAAATCTTATTATACTGAAACATGAAAAAATATTTAAAGCAGGTCAGCAAAGCCTTTCCACTGACTTCTCTGCCTCCCCTGCAGCAAAGTGCTGTTCAATTTTCAATTTTGTTTCTGCTGGTTACCATTTTGGGGACAACTAGTTAGCTTGCTTCTGTGCAGATAACCAGGTTCGGTATATAAAGGACTTCTATAAAGAAACTGAAACAACAGCTGCCAAATTTAAATTGTAAAAGAGTACTGAATTAGCTTATTGAGGTCAGCTACTCCTAAATGCTTAAAAGCATAGAAAATTTTCCCACTTTTGTCCCCAAAGTATTTCCTATAGGGAACAGTTTAGAAGCTGCACCACAAGATAGCAGAAAAGATAGCTGCAAGCCATCTCTACTTTACAGTATTACAGCATTCTGCTCAGGGGCTAGAGTTGAGGGAAAGGAGACAAAACCTCCCTCAGCATCAGGGACTAAGGCTGCAACACCGCAACAGTAGAGCAAAGGAGCCACCCAACCTCCGCCCTAAGTAACCCTTCTATTTCCCATAAAAATAGCGCTATCTACTCCTCAAAAGCCTCTGACATTTGAAAACACATGCTTCAAAAACGTCTTGCCAACATGAGTTACTTAGGACTCCACTAAAATTGCCACCTAAAAAGCATCAAGCAAAAAATAGTAACACTTCTGGCTTTGGCTGGAACAACCACATGTTGTCTGTCTATCATGACAGTTAAGAAACTAACTTAACATTGCCAAAAAGACATCTATTAAAAAACTTATTAAAACGAGTGCTATTACCAAGTTTTAAGTCTTTCCAGCTAGCTACATTCTTCTTGAGCCTGTCCATGGCTTTAGCCTCAGAAGCATTTGTCTACTCAGTGAGTATAAGAAATTGTGCTCAAGCAACAATTTGGAAAAGTGCAAATTTGTGTCTCGACACAAATTTTACACAGAATGTCTTTTTTGCCAGGCTAGAACAGGTCTAATAGAGGACAGCAAGTCATGAGTGCTCAACAAAGAGATGCAATATTGATGAAAAAACACAGCTACGAAAGATATCAAAAAAAAAAGAAGCAGGGTAACAGATTCTCTCTGAGAGGGGACAGGACAAGGGAAAATGAGGCAGCTGTTCTTGTGGATGACCAGATCAAGTGTCATCACCTAAACCATGCTCATATCACAACACTTGGTAGCACTTCTCACAATAAAGGAAGGGGCAGAAGGCAAAAAAAAAAGAAAAGAAAAAAGATATTTTGCATTAAAAAGGTCAACTTCAGTCAAAAACCACCACTACAGAAAACCACTGGCCATTACACTCTCTGCAGCACCTTTCAGGCTCGTATAGCTCATGCCATGCAAACAGGTATCATCACAGCAACCTTAATCTTCTCTCAGTACATCCAACACTGCGATGCACAAGTGCGGTTATCACAGTGAGGAGACAAAATTCTAACCCATATAACCTGTTATTTGCTTTAAAAATGCCCAATTCACAAAATTTTCTGCGTTGATACTATCAACTATGGTCCCACTGTGTACATATACAAGACTCCTAAAGCTAAAATAAATCGTGGTTTTTAAGCGATAAACTTGTGATGTAGGTCTATTAACTTATATACTAATTTCAGGAAGAATATCACTTGCCCAAATGAAGCAAATTAGTTTACATGGATGGAAGTAAATTTTTCAGACTTTGGTAACTGAGTAACATGATGCCTTCTAGAATACATCCAGGGCTAACATTACCACTTATCTTGCATTTGTTTAAATCAAATCTCATTTTGCTGCTTTCATGAAGAAATCTGTTTCCTCAGCACTTTATTTTGAAATAGCTCATTAAAAAAGTTTATTGATTGTTCTCAGAAAAAAAAATCCTCTTAGAAAAGAAAATAATGTCGATTTTTAAAATGTAAACAGTTAGCTAGGCTAGTCAACGTCTACCCTCACTGTGGACCTAAAGTCTTCTAGCTCCACTTTCTAAACAAATAGCGTGTACAGTAGATGTATTCAAGGCTCTCAACAGCTGTTATAAAATACCAAACTTGGTAATTAAGTCTGACGGAGCTGTACTTCAGCTTTGCAGAAGAGAATACTGGCAACATAATCATTTCCCAACAATGCCAACAGTTTTAAAATAAAGCAAGAGTAACAAAATTAATTGAAACAAGAGTAACAAAAATTAATTAATTGAAACAAGTGATGAGAGGCAAAAAATGGGCTGACATTTTCAAAACTACTTTTTGGAACACGGATACAGCTCCCCGCTCTTTATCTGAAGAGCTATCAATGTCTGCATTTACAAGGTCAACACTTAACTGTACCACCTGATTTACAATAGCTTATCCTTTAATACCATCAGGCAACCACAGCAATACTTTAACGAAGAATTCACAATTCCAAGCATGGAGCTCAGTCAAGAGTGACTACACATACACTAACAGACCTCATTAAAGTTTATTGGTGTTCACATGCTCGTTTTATCTCAGCATTTAAAAGACCACAGTAAACAGCACGGGAAGGTAGTAACAGCTCTTAAGCCACATTTTAATTAAAAACAGCTGAATTGCCCATCTAGTTAATACCAAGAAATCTTTCTGTATGCAACACTTGGTTTACAGCAGACATTTGTTCAGAAACTCAAAACCAATTCCTTGGTTTATTTAGTATTTTCCTAAGCTCGGCTCTGTCAGTTCACAAGACTTTCGGCTGCATACAACTGAAGGATGACACATAACCCACTGCACAGCAGTAATCAATAACTAAGACAAGGGCAATCATCTCAAAACACTTGCTCCCTTGTGAGCTCTGTTATCAGCCCAGTACTGAAATATTAGCTACAAAGCCAAAACACAGCTCTGTAAAGTTATTTACAAGTTGCCCTTACAAGCAGCAATTAAGATAACCTTAAAAAGTAACAATTTTGGTCCAGCTTTTTTCCCTGTGGTTCTCAAATGCTCTGAAGTTTTGTCAACGCTGAGGGCAGCAGCCACAGGAAAAGGCAAGGCATAATTAATATAATCCCTTAGGATAAAAGATTCCTCTCTGTAATCCACATGATACCATCTACATACATAAATAAGTAAACAGATATGGTATCCTGATAGTATGATGATGGGAACACTAGACACGTGTAGGTATCTATACCCTTCACTGCAATGCAAATATCGAAAAATAAAAACATTAAGCTGGCTGGGCTAAGTACGTCAGAAAGAGCAACACAAAGGTCATTTGTTATTTATATAAGGGTTGGCTCACAAGCACTCTAGTTACGGTGACTTAAGAAGCTGTTGGCACAATAGATGACTACTTAAGCGTTCTCTATTCGTCAACAATCCAAGTACAAAAAACCAACTACCTGAAATCTGCAGAAATTAGAGGTGTGTTCTATGGGCAAACTAAAGCTCTACTCCCCATGGGACACAGAGGAGCATCCAAACGATCCTGACACGCCCACTTCTGCTGTTCTGAAGCAGAACAGCTCCTCATCATTTCGCTGTGAGGTTCTTCTGGTGTGTCTGGGATTTGTCGTCCACCCCCTTGAAAACCCTGAGTGTTTTTCCACATTAAATAAAATAAACCATTTAGGAATATCAAGCTGCTTGCTCCCTTTTCTTGAAAGGGTATCCTAACGCATTGGTAAATGGCTGAGCATTCACCTTGAGAGCGCGTTCGCACTTCTACAAACCTACTGCCACGTTAAGGCAGAAGCAGGGTTAAGGTCTGTTCTCGATCAGTTCGTGTCTGGGCACCAACCGCGCACCTCGCTGCTCGTAAGGCTAGGCGCTCCTGGGTACAACTCACGCCAACTGCAGCAGAAAGCCGAGCTCCACGTTGTAAAGACAAAAATCAAGTCGCAGCTGGCACAACTTTCACAGAGCATGGAAGGTGTGACATCATCCTGTTTGTGTTTCTGGGCAATGTAACCTCGCTCGTGTTTTCTGCACAGTGGTACCACGCTTGGGGATAAATCCAGGGATCACCAGCGCATCCGGCTATCAAGCAGCAGATTTAACAAAACCAAACGAGGCCAAACCATGCCCAGTTCTGGAAACATCCTCGATAAGGTAACAGGGCTTGGATGAACGGTTCTTGTCCTGGCCAGGGCTGGGCA